ATAGAAAGAATTTGATCCCAACTACCAACATGATCACCTACAAGGCAACGAAGAAGGTCACCTAAACTTCGATTAACAACCTCTGTTTGACCATCAGTTTGGGGATGGAAAGAAGAAGAAAATTTCAATTTTGTATGCAGTATCTTCCACAAAGTACGCAAAAAATAACTCATAAACTTCACATCGTGGTCTGAGATAATTGTTTTTGGCAAACCATGAAGTCGGCCAACTTTTTTGAAAAAGATTTTAGCAATATGGATAGCATCAGAAGTCTTTGAACAAGGGACAAAGTGAGCCATTTTTTAGTAGCGGTCCACCACCACAAAAATGGAATCATATCCCCTAAGGGTTCGTGGCAGCCCTAAGATGAAGTCCATGCTTAGGTCTTGCCATGGCTCATGTGGTACTGGTAATGGAGTGTATAGACCAGTATTTTTCTTTCGTCCTTTAAAAAGTTGACAGGTACGACATCGAGAAACAACTTTGGCAACATCCCGCTTAAGACTTGGCTAATAATAACGGTATTCAACCATTGCAATTGTCTTGTCTCTGCCAAAATGACCTGCTGCTCCTCCATCATGCAATTCCTCGAATCACCACTTCGCGTAGAGATGCATTAGGCAAACAAAGACGAGTTCCCTTAAAAAGATACCCATCATGTAAAAAGAATTCTGGATATTCAGCATGTTGTCCGGCCGCTATATCAGTGTAAAGTATGCTGAAATCTTTGCAAGACGAGTAGTTTTTCTTGAGCGAATCAAAGCCCACAACTTGGCTGGACATAGAGTTAAGAGTTAGCATCACATGACTAAGCGCATCAGCTGCCTTATTTTCTATCCCAGCTTTATGTTTGATGACGAATGTGTATTCTTGCAAGAAGGAGACCCACTTTCCATGTCAATGATTCAACTTCTTTTGGGAGTTGATGTACTTGAGAGCTTCATGGTCAAAATACAACACAAAGTCCTTGGATATGAGATAGTAACGCCAGTAACGGAGTGCTTGAATCACAGCATAGAATTCCTTGTCATAAGTAGAGTACTTTTGTCATGCTTCATTAAGTTTCTCACTAAAATAAGCAATTGGATGGCCTTCTTGACTGAGTATACCCCCAATTCCCACATTTGAGGCGTCACAAGTCACTTCAAACACCTTAGAAAAGTCCGGAAAGCATAAAAGGAGCTTCAATCATTTTTTTCTTTATCTCTTCAAATGCTTTAGTCGTTGCACTGGTCCAAAGAAACTCTCCCTTCTTCATGCAATTAGAAATTGGTGCCATTATTGTGCTGAAATTTCGAATATAGCGCCGAAACTACGAACCTCTTGCATGGTGGTAGGAATCGACCACTATATAATAGCTTTGACTTTGTTCGGATCAGCCGCTACACCCTTGGAAGAGATAACAAAGCCCAAAAACACAATGCTTGGACTTATGAAGGAGCACTTCTTCAAATTTACATAGAGTTTCTCTTGGCAAAGAACTCTCATAACCTGTTGGAGATGGAAATGTGTTCCCCTTTGGTCTTGCTATATAGATTAGTATATCATCAAAATAGACCACAAGGAAGCGACTAGTAAAAGGTTTAAGTACCTGCGTCATGAAACGCATGAATGTACTAGGAGCTTTGGAAAGACCAAATGGCATAACTAGCCACTCATAGAGACTATCCTTTGTCTTGAAGGTAGTTTTCCACTCATCTCCAGGCCTTATTCGTATTTGATGGTAACCACTTTTCAAGTCTATCTTTGAAAAAATAGTAGAATCAGCTACCATGTCCAACATATCATCAAGTTGAGGAATTGGAAACCAATATTTGATGGTTATTTTGTTGATAGCTCGACTATCGACACACATGCGCCACATGCCATCTTTATTTGGTGTGAGCAAGGCAGGAACAACACAGGGACAAAAACTTTTGTGAATAAATCCTTTGGACAACAGCTCATCTACTTGCCTTTTTAGCTCAGTATGTTCACTAGGATTCATCTGATAAGCTGGAAGATTAGGCAATTGAGACCCAGGTATAAAATCTGTTACGTATTGGACATTACGCATGGGAGGAAGCTCATTAGAAAGTTCTTCTGGTGCTATATCAGCAAATTCATATAACTTCTCAACCTCAAAAGGCCTTTTTGTTTCAGGACCAGTTGTTGGTTGCTTCACTTCTTTAACCACTACAGCATAAATAAGCTTTGATTCTTTGTTTTCCACTACGAATTGCCTTTTAGAGAGTACGTGAAGAGATTTAGTTTGACTTTCAACAATACGCTTTGGCTTTGGAGTTTCATATCTTCTCATCTCTGTCATAGTCATGGGATGTAGGACAATTGTCTTCTTTCCAAGTGAGAAAGTGTATGTATTTTCTCGTCCATTGTGGTGTACAGTGTGATCGTAAAGCCATGGTCGACCAAGAAGGATGTGAGTGACATTCATAGGAAGTACATCACATAAAATAGAATCACTATAATTAGGCGAAGCAAAAGAAACAAGGCATCGTTGAGTTACCGGAATAGACGTCTTGTCAATCCAAGCTACCTTGTAAGGATGAGGATGTGGCTCAATTGGAAGCTTAAGTCTTTCAACTGTAGATGCAGAGACAACATTCATGTATCAATAACAAGTTTTTTTGGTTGATTTTCAAAACGGAGCAGCATTTGAAAGATTGATGTTTGTCGCCAATCTTCTTGCTCCACCTTAAGGGCTGCTAGAATACTCGTAACAACATTAAGAAAGGAGGTTTCCAACTCATCTTTCCCTAAATCATCGAAGCTGCCCTCTCCATAATTGAATGCATCCTCATCATTGACGTATTCCTGTGATTGGCCATCATCAAAGTTCTGAAAAACGGTTGCGGTTGCCGTAACGGTGGCGGTGGCGCAGTTGCGGTTGCGGTTGCGGTTGCGGAGTGTAAAGGCCGTAGTGTAACGGTTGCGGTAATCGGAACAGTGAATTTTTTTTATTTTTCGCACAATTTGAAAAAAATTTACCGATACGTACATTTTTTTTCCATAATCATATTTATTAGGTTTTAAAATAAATATTGATCAATTTTTATAAATTTTTAAATTTGATCCAATATATTTTATATTTTTAAATCACTATAAACTGAGTTTTTTACATTTTATTTTCATAATTAATGACTTTATATTATGCAAAAAATCAATCACTAACTATTATATATAAGATAAACAATGACAAAAATAAAAGAATAAATAAAAGCTTAAATATATATATATATATTTATATTTTAATCAAGCCAAATAGATAATGACCACACTTATTATTATTATTATTATTATTATTAAACAATATATAGATAGACACACACAAACAAAATAGTTGAGTGATAGTAGCTGAATAGAATAGCATAGGTCTTAGAGCTTCAACAAATCAATAACATGTTCTTCATCTTCTCTCCTCTCTCTCTTCTCTCATCTCTCTCTCTCTCTCTCTCTCTCTCTTTCTTTCTTTTCCCATTTTCAACTTCTTTTTTTTTGTGTTTTTTTGAAAGAAGCAATTCAGAACTGTTACGTAACGGTGCGTACAAGCCATTACGGCACCGTTACGACCGCTATAGCAACCGCTACGGCCAGCACACCTATGAATCTCAATCACACTACAAAAGTGACCGTAACGGGTGGCGGTAATTACCACAACCGTTACGTAACGGCATTACGTAACGATTGCGGCCGCTTTTTAAAACCTTGATCCCCATCGTTGACATATTCCTGTGATTGGTCATATTCTGGCAGTTGCTCTATGTCCTCTTCGATTGCAATATGGAGGGTATTCTTCCTTGGACATTGATAAGCCATGTGCCCAGACTCACCAAACTTAAAACAAGTAGTGCTTTTATCCCTCCCACTTGGCTTCACAGTCACAGTACCTTGATTTCTATGATCAACAACACTGGAAGATGAGGCTTTGGATATGTTTGGTCGATTTAGTGGTTGCAAAGGTGCTGTTTTTGTGCTTTTATTTGCATCAGTAAACCTTCTAAATGTTATCTCCCCTGCTTGAGACCCAAATTTCTTAGTAATTGAGTAACTCATGTATTCTTCTATATCAAGTGTCACTTAGAATGCATGCTCCATACTGTGTAAGGGTTCACGAAACAATTCTCGTTGTATGTCAATCCTCAAACCAGACTTAAATCGAGCAAGGGTGTGACATGGATATTCCAAAATTTGACTTCTAGTCTTAAGTTCATCAAATCTTTGCATATATGCTACTACTGACATGCTGCCCTGTTTTAGAGTAACAAGTTGGTCACACAACTTTTCGTGATAATTCTACGGCATGTATTTCTCTCAAAGCTTGGCTTTCATCTCTTGCCATGTGCCTATTAGTGGTTGCCCCATTCTTCTGATATCTCCTTCCACACCAGTCCACCATACTTTTGCCAATCTCACAAGTTTCATCTTAGCAAATCTCACTCTTCGTTCATCCGTCATATCATACCATTCAAAATACTCCTCAATGGATGCAAGCCAATCTGAGAACACTGTAGGATCAACCTTGCCTTCAAAATCTGGAACCTCCATGTTAATCACGCTGATCTGCTTCTTGTTCACTTTGATTCTCACCATTCTCACCATGATTATCAATTTCAGAGTTTTCTCCTTATTCTTCGGTTGTTGTAGCGCCATTAGCTTGAGTTGTTTGGCCCTCCAAAGCACTAATACAAAGATTACAATGATCAAGTTGCTCCAGAATTTTTATAAGGATCTCATCACATTGATTTTCAATCAATCTTCCTCTAAAAGGTTTCCCCGATCGTGTAGACAAGTTTGAATCCTCGCTCTGATATCAAAATTGATGCAGGACAGCACTGTAAGAGCTGTTCTGGGGCAGTGAAAGTACCCGTGAACATTGTTTAGGCTGTTTAAAGTGCAGAAAATAAAGGAGGGAAAGAAGGAGAAGAAGGAGATAAGTCTAGGAATCACTCCTACAACTCCTTAGGCATCACACCTAGGGTTTGATTGCATCACACAATCCATAAAGAAGCTTTAAAAACTCTAAATTCTCTGAAATATCAAGTCTATATAATTAAAAGCATTACATGGCTTTATATAGAACTAAGAGACTTCCTAAACCAATTAGAACCAAAAAAGGAAACCACTATAATAGTTTGGACTTTCAAAACTAATTTAAGACTAAATAAGGAACATAAATAAAATCTAATAACTTGACCCACAAGACGACCCATGAGCAACCCGTATAACCCATGTCTACAAATTATGAAATTACCGAAATACCCTAAACTAAAATAATAATAATAAAACATGACTCATAAGCCTAAAACATAACTAGGCACGGTCCCAAATGAGGTGTTCATCATCCAATGCATGCCAAATCAAAGCTTAGGCCTTAGAGGCATCTCTTCCTCGTCTCTTGTACACCTTAAGAGGCTGCTGCCACTTGCCTCCATGCTTTGTTTTTGCAGTAGAAAGAGTCTCTCCAGCTACTTTTGTAAGTTGGGGTGGCCGAATACAAAAGGAGGAATGTTCTTACGTCTTACATGGCATACATGGATCCACATTCCAGGACTCCAGGAGATGTACATTAACACAGAGTGCTTAAATTCCTCCACAGTCAACCTTATATCGAATTGTTCACCTTCCTGAGCATTAGTGCCTGCCTTCCGCCGCAGACCCATGAAATAACAATAATGAAACGGTCTGGATTTATCAGAAAATTCACCAGGGTGTGGGTGGCACTGAAGCATGCTTTTTGTGTCCCTCTCAATCTGAATTAATTGAATGCCAACATGAGCATAGAGCTTCAAGAAAATTTTAGTGCTGATGACAAAATAAGAAAAGAGAAAGATGGTGTCACCTTCAGAGTAAGCTGGCGAATCCGAGACTCAACCCAGCCTTTCCATTTCCTCAAGTCATCATCATTCTTAGCTGCTATATCTATCTGCAAATAATTTCTGTATACTTTAAAAAATGGGAAAGGCTCAAACAGGGTCATCCATCCAGCCTTGTTCTTCTCCATCGACTGCAAGAATACATAAAATTATAGAAAAAAAATTACATAGCACAAATAAATAATAATCAGTCACAAAGAGAGAGAGAACAGTTATAGAGCTAGCTCACAGCAGAATGAAAAGAGTTTCAAAGCACTAAGTTGAGTAGTCAAAATCTCAATTGACATCAATCATGGCCTCAAAAGGGAATAACACTTTCAGAAGAAGACTTGGGTCAAATGTGGAAGTGAACAAAACTAGGATTCTTAACCCAATGAGGATAGCAGTTAACTTCAAGGCCGTAAATAATATGTTTCGTCCCATGACAAAACCCTTTCCAAAATGGAGAAACCCCAGCAACAGCAGATGCTCAAATGTTTTACATACCACTAGTTCTAATGATTGTTGATGAAATTTTTCATCAATATACATGTTTAGTGTTATTTATATCAAACCACATTCCTACAAAGAAGACACTGGTATTTTCCAATGTATATATATGGGGAGCCTCTAAATGCACACCAAAAACTTGGTTGGACACACCAATTTTTCAAAAAAAAAATTATTTAATACTATTTTACCCCAAAATAAAATTACCAAAAGGGACAAACCCTATTTTTAATAGCACAAGTGAGAAAAATAGGAATAAGTTGACACCATAAATCTCAGCCAAAATTTAATAGCACAAGTGAGAAAAATACCCACTCCATTTTTTTCAATAATGCTAGGATAAGCACATTTATGTACCAAAAATTGTTTACCATCTCATGTGTCACCATTGTATTGCTCTAATTGGTCCCTTCACTCATGTCTGTTACCAATGCAGTAGTATGGTAAACAAAATATGGTTAGCAAATGTAGTCATCATGACATTGTTTTTCCCACCTGTGTACCCACTTTGCATACCATTAACTAATGGGTGCAAATCCCTACCAGTTAAAATGGTGAGGTACGTAAAGCTGGTATAAGTCAACGCATCATTAAGTCAATTCTAGTTACTCAAAATAAGTACAAAAAATTCACACAACATTGCCAATCAATAACTTATGTTTATCTAAATCTGGAGAAAAAATTTTGATAGAGCTGGCTTCCATTCTAACTCTTCACTACGAATAAGATCCCCTCATACTTACACCCTTGTCCACGTGGGTCCTCCCAATTTGACTTCAGATTTAATGCAAAACAGAAAGAAAAAAGAGCCGTCTCATCTCTAGGAACATTTTATAGATTTATCCCACAACTGTATAAGACCAACATAAACATTTTATAGATTCATCCCACAACTGTATAAGACCAACACAAACATTTTATAGATTTATCCCACAACTGTATAAGACCAACATAAACAAGGACCAGACACTAGGTAATCAGAAATTATCCTATGGGTCAGGAAGATCAAGTGTCCATGTGCCCATCCAATGAGATCATGCCATTTCTCCACCATTTCCTTGTTTCTAGTGCCATGTAATTCTTAGGCCACTGTTATTGGTTGGGCACACCACCAACCTTGAATTCCTGGAAGACGGGATAATTCCTCCTAGGTAACCGATAATATTTCCAAGTAACAAATTAACAAAGCCAACACTAGCCACCAAGCTCTAAAAAACAGCCAATCTGAGGGAGGTATATTCATAGAAACTTCAAGAAGACAAACATTTGGAGAAAAGCCATGCATGAAGCATTTATAAGCTTACATGTTCAATTAAACAAGTTCCAACAGCAGCCATAGAGAAGCAGGCAATCAAACATAAAAATTCATGTTCACAAGGGCAATAAAACATTAAAATATTGCTTAGAAAACAGAAAATCAACAGATCCAAGATTCTAAGAAATGGACAAAAGTAATTAGGACGGAAAAGGACGATATGCCTACCAAGTAGAAAAGTGGTGATAAACATAATCGAAGTCGAAGAATAATGGTTAAATTATAGTAACTTATAGTAGATTGAACATCAAAGGTTGTATAGCTAAAACTGCAGCATTGTTCTTACGAAATAAAGCATAATCAACCAAATTGCCGCAAATCATCTAATGATTCACATTGTAAACATCTCCAAAATCAACATAAAACTTAAAAATCACGAAGGTACCTCACAAATTTCATTGCCTCTCTGAAACTCATCCATCATAACACGCAATGTACTTGTCCCTCACAAATTTCATTGCCTCTCTGAAACTCATCCATCATAACACGCAATGTACTTGTCGACACATTGTAACTAGAGTTCATGCAAGGATATGCAGGCTTTATGATCGGCATCGGATGCAGTCTTTTCCAAAAAAAATTTCTAGGATCCCAAACAGAAAGTCCCAGAGAACCTTCCTGAATAGGACATAGCATGACAGGGTTTGGCCACCTCCACAGATTATAGACCCTGAAGAACCTTGACACCAACATGCTAGGCAGTGCATTTGGGTAAAGCTGGCATATACGAGCAACGAGTAATGCGCAATTAATACCACCAAGAAACCCCGTAACCTGGTTGCAACAGAAGCAAATAATTTATATAGTCAGATAAATGCGACAACAGCAGTCACAACAGAGAAACATTCAGCATGAAAATAACTTCCTCACATTTGAATAAATCCCACGTCTCTTTGCCCAGAATCTCATACATCTCAGCGTAGTACGAAAGTTCTGACAAGACAAACAATAAACATAATCAGCAATGCATATATAAAAATAAAGTAAGAAAAAGGCAAATTTGTACACAAATATATTAAATACAACCTGAATATTTGGAACCAAACGCAAAATTTGGTCTGTAACTCTGCATCCATTGAGGCTACGAACTGTCAGTTCATCTACATTCTCTAGTATTGAATCTTCTGAAACATCCAAGTCCTGCAATAGATGAACATGTTTGGAGATGCCTCAACCAACCTTAAAAAGTTTTGACAAGTTGACAGTCAGATTCCACAAGCCATAAAAGTATTAACTGAAGCCTGCCACGCTGCTAAGAATACTAATGTAGGCTCTTAGTCAGATGATGATAATAAATACACACTTTTCCATAACACAACATATTTAATAAAGAATGGCATACAAACAAACAAAAGGGAAGAAAGATACTTCAAAATATTAAAAACTAAAATCAACAGTTTCTCTTTTTTCAAGAGTAGGCCCTAAACAAAATGGCATGCCTAAACAAAGATTAGCCAAATATGAGGATGTCCAAAATATCAACAATGAATGTCTCAATAAATTTATCACAAAAAAAAAATAAATGGTCTCAATGATACTGCACAGAGAAGTGGCAAAGTAAGGAGGCAGAATCAGAATGAGGTGGAACTTGGAAAAAAGTAGCCAAATTGAGATTTTCACATGGGCCCACTAAGGACATATCCAATCACATTTTAGTTAAATTTATTCCTATTCTATGACGATGACTATAACCTAATATGCAGCTCACTGTTGTTTTATCATTATTTTCTTATGTTGAACCAAGGGTATTCTAGTAAATTCAAAGAATTCTTGCTCATAGGTTGTAATAGTGGTACGAGGTCTTATTTTTAGTATAAATATACTATTGGGTCCTTAATTTGACCCAATAGTATATATAACGAAAACCAATAGAGACAGTAGTGAAGAGATGCGTTACAGTGACGGTAGATGGAAGTGTTAGGAAGGGGCAGACCTAGATTGACGTGGGCTGGTGTAGTAAAAAGAAATATAAATCTCCTCAATTTAACTAACAATATGACATTGAATAGAGTCAAATGGAAAAAAAAATATTCATGTGGGACTTAAGACTTGGTTTGATTTATACTATTGGGCCCTTATCTATGATTCATACCATGGATTATTATATGATGTAATCACTAAAACTATCTAGCAAAGGGATTCACAGTAGGAACCCTTGAATATTCTTATCTTTAGTTCTCCACAATCAAATTTTGTTCTTTGAATGACAAACAGACCCATAACAACAACTAAATTACAGAAAATCCGACAATAATCTCCAAACAAAGCAAGTTCTGGCCCTAATCCTCTTCAATCCATAAAAGCTTACAATCTTAATCCCAAATCTATAAGCTTTCCGTAGCTTTACCCCAAAACAGAATCGACCACAAGCAGCATTATTTTAGTTCCTAACATGCTGCTCTGCATTAGAATGTACACAAACCAAGCATCCAAGCAAAGGAGTCATATGCATAGCTTCACAAAAAAGAAACAGGGGTGAGTATAAGATTGGGAGCACCTAGGGGAGTGTCTATGAAGCACAGACACCTCTCCGAAGGTGACATACAAGTGTCCGATACGTGTCAAATATGGACACATTCCGAACACATGTCAGACAAGCTAGAGAGAGTCGAACACATTGGGATATTTAAGACACGCTAGAGACACGTTGAGGAAGCATTAAGGACCATTTTTTTTTTATTAAAATAGCATATTTAAGGTTGATAAATTTCATAGACTTAAATATTTGACATAAAATAAATATTAAATATTTAAAAATATGACAAAAATAAATATATAAAATTATATGTTTGCACGTGTCTGCAATGTGTCGTGTCATGCATTTTATAAAAAAATTTGTGTCCGCATATCCATGCCGTGTCATGTTATGTGTCCGTGTCCGTACTTCTTAGGGGAGCATTTATGTATTTTATATATAAGATATTATAAGAAGTAATTTTTTTCTTAGTTGTAATATATATGTTAAACAATTCCAATAAATATGAACTTTAAAATTACAAAGACGATGGAAATTACTCCTAGACAGGGGTGAACAGGCCAATTTAACCTCTTAAAATTACCAGCCAATTCTCAGTTAGGATTTTTATTAGAAATCACAACAATAAATAAGCACGTAAAGCATAACACTGTGACTTAACATGGAAAACCTCAAGGAAAACTCTTCGAGAGGAAAAACTCATGATCCCAACTCCCGAACAATAGTCCACTAAGCAAATCTAAAATTTCAAAAACGATAGACACGAGAACTTACAACCACACCTCAATTAACCTAATTTTGAGATCTTTCTAATACTCCACAATCACCAGGAAGGAAGCACCTCACCTACGTCTTTGCACTAACAGCTCTATTGGTACGATACAATGTATTTAAGGGTTTTGAAGGAAAAATACTCAATAAAATCACTCACTTACAAGACTCAATAATACGCTTAAAAGTCAGCAACCCTAAAAGCAAGAATTGTGAAGGTATATAGATGCACAGTGAATACTAAAACCTAAAACAGGTCGAGTTGCAGAAAACGTATGTTGGGTGCTCAATTACCTAACGAGTGTTGCTCACTAGAATTTTTAAAGACTCAAGTAAAAGATTGAGCGCTCAATCACTGAGTGAGTGTTACCTACTAGAGAATGAACCCCAAAAAAAATTTATAAAATGAATCAACAATAGCACTACATCACCTACGGCAATCAAACAACTAGCAACCGCTAAGCAAGCATCAGTCTTTGCTTCTTGCTAAAAATGCAATTTTGAAAGGAAAAAAAAAAAACAATACCCAAGGTTTAAAACAACTCCTAATACTCAGAAAACATTTCCAATGAGCTAACTTAAAACAACATGACCCTAGGATGCAATCTACATGAATACATGTATACTTGTCCGAGTAAAGGAACAATTGAACTTTGACGCTTGTGACAGCTGACCGGTATCTTCAACAGAACACACTTATAGTCATCTATCTAAACTACCATGCCCCATTACATTATAAGCCCAAGACCCATTTTGTCACAGAGAAATAGTCTAAAACCTATATCTTCTCTCAAACTCGATGGCTTCCCCCACCGCAGCCCAAGTTTTTCACTAAATCTACCAAATGATTCTTCACAAAAAAATCTCCTCCCAACTTCCAGTTGTGGTGTAAACTATTCCACCAGAGAATATCAACACCACATAATATACCCAATGGAATACATTTTCCTTGTTTATAAAACTCCAATTATTAACAGTAATAACTAGTACTAGCTCTTAAAAATTAGGGGAACAAATCAAACTGACAGGACTTTTTGGTTTTTATTTAAGATCAAAATATCAGAAGATGTAAGAATACTACAGCTGGCACAAAGATTTATGAGCTGCAATTTTGAACTAATATTTATACTCTTTCATTTAAACATGAAAAGGATTGGTCACTTAAAAACAAAGTAAATTTTTACATCTTTGTATTATCTTTTTATATATATATATAAGTCATCAAGAATTAGATCTTTGTACTATCATCCAGGAAGATAATAGTGGTAACCTTTTACTTTTAGGATGCACACTTGCCCCCTACACAAGCAACACCATCACCAAAAACTAAGGTCAGTACAAAAGTTGAATACTTAAAACCATTTTATCCTGTTTTTTGTTAAATGTTTGTTAAACCACATTCAGAAAGTGAATACAAGGTAACCATAAAAAAAATTACTTACTTCAGGAATAGCCCCAAGTGCTACATTTGCATAAAGAAGATCTATAGACACACCACTGAATTTGAACTTCAATATTGGAACATGAGCATCAGGGACTGGATGTAATTCTTGTATTTCAGGTATCTCTGCCAGCATGTTGTATAATTCACCAAAGAAATCTTCCTGCATTGAGTTATAGAAGAAAAATTAGACTTATCAATCTCCACTAGAGGAAAACTAAAAAGAAATGCAAATTGCTGCTCATGGAGGAGAAAGTTCTCATCATACATCTCGCGTGGCATGTCTTGGTCCAACACATAGTATGTCTATATCCGCACCAGGGCCGTGTACCTATTTGACAACCACACCCAGAGAAACTCAATTTAAAAAATTCAAAATAACAACAAACAAGATTTATAATCTTAAGGCTAACTCTAAAGCAGTCCTATTATAAGCCATCCTTGCAAAATTTGTGTTCACATCATAACAAGCAAGGATATGGACACAAGACATGGTGATTTCATAAAAAATGGGGACACGGACACGATGGGGACATAGCAATAAAATATTTTTTCATATATTTTTATTTTCTATATAGATTAATATTACATTCACAAACAATCAAAATTAACAAAAACTAACACTAATTCGATATTTAAAGAAAAATATATCAATTTCAAATTAACATTTATAATTTATATCTTTTTTATGGATCATCTATTAAGTATTTAAACCTAAACAAAAAGTAAAAAATATTTGACATCTAACATTTATCAAAAGCACTATAAAAAATTGGGGGGGAGGGGGGAATTAGTTGTTGTGTTCCTAGCATGACCCCAACATGTCCCAGACATGTTCACTAGAAAAAACTATTTAAATAAAGGGACACGTCACATGAAGTGTCCCATACGTGTCCCCGCAGTGTCCCTGTGTCCAACACCCTTACGACATTTGTTTTGGAGTGTTGGTTGGTGCTTCATAGCTCACATCACATTACTATTATTATTATTATTATTAATATGTTAAATTTCTAAAGTGACGATAATCTATCTCCTTTTGGTTTTTTAGTTAATAAATATAGTTTGAATTGGTCCTTCATAGTTTTCACTGCTCTTTGATTTTACATTGGTGATCATCATTTTATATATGTAAATCTATGTTTCTCTAAAAGGTAGCCTTATTCATATGGCTAAATGTTGAGCCCCAAGTCAGCCAAACACAGTTGAACCACATTTAAAAAAATCTTCTTGATTCAATCATATCGACAACGACAAGATACTTGGCGGGAGGTTCTTTATTGAGAGCGGAAGCAATTTCTCCCGCTAATATTGTGCCCATCTGATCTGGAGGGAGGGTATATGGGTGCCTATGTTGAATATTTAAAAGTGATAAAGAAGTTTAGAAATATATAAAAGTCAGTTTGGAGGCTGTGATTTTTTTCAACTACACCCAGTCTACCCCAACGAAGGGGCAATCACACATAACCACACAGAAAAAGCAGAAAAATGAAGGGAGGGACGGAGAGAGGGAAAGAAGAAAAAACAAACTGCGAAAATGATTTTTTCCAACCTCGTGGTGTCCTACAGAACACCCATTAAAGAGTATCTAATGGTGTAAATAGCACCAATGTTACTAATAAACCTATTGGAAATTTCAATTTACATCTTTATTCTTTCAAAATGACTCATTCGCATTTAATAATTTGAGCTTTAGTCCAACATTGCCTTAAAATACATTTTACACCTTAGATACCAAATCTCATAATCCATAAGACCAAAGACAACTAATTTTTACCTAAGAAAATTATGGTAGCAGTCTTATACCAATCTTTTGTTAAAAAGTATGCCAAACAATATTCACAAAAGATGATAAACTTAAGGAAATGTAGCTTTTAGATTTTTGTTTGAAATAGTTCATTATTTTTTTAAATTAACGTGAAATTGTTAGGTAATTGGTGTGAAACTGAGCATACATTGTGTGGATTACTTGAGGAATGGTAAAACCTCACTTTTGCCCTCCTAGTTTGATAAATATTCAATTTTGCTATTGAGATACTTCAAAAAAATTTACCCACTTATTTACAAAGCTTGTAATCAAACACATTCCAAAGTAACATATGAACAAGTATCCATTCTCTCACTGCTTTCTTCATACAAAAACATTAAACATATTATTTACTTCTCTAATTGATTCCTAAATTATTTTGTAATTCTTTAGTTACTAGTGAATAAACATAGAACGTAAACATCACCTTTTTTTTGTAACATTTTATTTTAAATTTTATACTATTTTAACTTATAAATTATATAAGTTGCAATTTAATTTCCTTTTCTTCTTTGTTAAAAATCAATTAAAGTAAATTAACTTAATTTGGAGTTCGTATTAACAACAATCCATGTTTTTTAGTTGCTATAAAATTAAGTTGGAAGCATATAATATTAAACTTCAAACATTGTGTACTTGAATACTAATTTCTTTTATTTTAATTTCATTAGTTAGCGGTGTTGAACATTAAAATATATGCAATCATTAAACACAATACACTAATTACTTGAGTATTATTATATGACTTTCACAAGAATTCATGAAAACATGCTTGAATTAATTGCTATGTATTATAATTTCTTGTAGGCTTCAAAGAAGAAAAAATTAAATGGAAATGTTTTCCAAAAAATTAATAAATGGAAATAATTGTCTTTGAAAATAAATGGAATACATAAAAACTTGAGATTAAGGCAAAGTTTGAGAACCACCTAAAATAGTCCAAAAAGCCAAAAAGTTAATACCAAAAAATCAACTCTCTTCTCTTACTTTTCTGCACGTTTTTTCGTAAAAAACCAAAAAGCCAACTAAAATAGCTAGTTCTCAAAACAAACCTAAATAGCTTAACTGATATTCAATAGTTAAAATACATTATGTATAAAACAAACAAAAATCATTTTTATAAGGTTTGTGAAGGTGTTTGGGAAGATAACTTTTTGGCTAAAATAACCAAAAAACCAAAACACCCAATCACATCATTCTCTACTTTTTTTGCATGTTTTTTTTCGTAAAAAGCCAACTAAAATAGCCAATTCCCAAACGAGATCTCAAGGCATAATCGAAAATTTGTCAAACTAGGACAGTAAAAATGAGTTTGATGAATGTGTGGAAATTGATCTAAATTTTTTCCACATATAATTCAAAAGATAGGTTCAATACAACTTAACATTCAAATTGATGCTAACTTGACGATGACCCATTGAATAAAATTTATAGAGATGCCACCATCCCTACTTCAACAAGGTAGTACACATTTTAGAGTATCTCCAATGGTTCAATAGCTAAATGGCTAGCTATTGATATATTTTAGCAATGTTGCTCCAATGGTACAAATGCTATTTCTTCTATTTTTCTCATAAAATGCCAAATATAAACATTACATGTGGGTCCCATAAAAGGGTTATGAAACTTTAGCTACTATAGCTAAACCTTGTGCCAAATGTGACACAAGGTTTAGCAATGCTACAAGGTTTAGCTAGCCATTTGAGAGCCCAAAATTGAGTTTCGTGCTATTTTTGACAATAGCAAGACTTTTGCCATACTGTTGTAGTCAATTTGTAAAATCAATGTGGATAAGCAAGTAAAATCAATTTGTCGCAAAAAAGTAGAGAGAGAGAGAGAGAGAGAGGGGACTCATACACCCAGCCGATAGGAACCAAATGTGAAGATCTTCGCATTAGCTTCTTGGACTAGTTGCTCATTGAAGCCTTGAGCACGGGAAATGTTCTTCACCCACATCTTCACTATCTGTTCAATTTGCAACAAGTTTGTATTAACAAATTACACAAGCATAATTTAACAATAGTTAGTAACTCCAAATGACAAGACAATTCAACCTGGTCTAATCTCCCCAACACTTCCTCCCTTTTAATAGCTTCTTCCTGACTTTCATATAATCCCACATCTGCAAGAAACTGATTGCACACACAAACCATAATCAAATATATACAATCAAAGATCTGCAACTCCAAATAAAACTTTTATGTTCAACTTGGTTGTGTAAGAATAAGAAATGCCAGGTACTAAATGTTTTTGATCATAGATATTTCAGTTGTATGGAACCACAAGAGAGAAACCTTTACTCATGTGAGCTTCAACAAACTATCCACTTGGATACATTTCTTAACACACATCTATGTGTTCAAAGCAAGAAAACATTTTATGTGCAATGCAATTGGTGCAGACATTTCTGACCAAAATTTGAATAATTCTTCAGGAAAGGGGGGCAAAGTACAAAAGGCTACAAAAGAGCATCTCTCAGTTTAGCTTTATACATATGTATATATTTGGTATAGTTTCTCAAATTTTTCCTCATTATCAAAACAAGCATTGGTTCAATGGTTCAATGGTTAAGACTTGGCCTAATAACCTTAAGGTTATGGTTTCAAGTCTTGGGGCCACCACTTTGTGCATTATGCTAAAAGTTAGGTGTGTACTCAATCTTTCCCTCCCAAACACACATTAATGTATACTAATTGGACGTTGTTTTTTTTTTTTATCAAAACAAGCATAGAATTAAAAATTGTAGATCACTCACTTTCCAACAAGTAATGGCTTACTATTCCGTGTTCAAAAATTAAAATTCTTCTATTTTGCATCATTACCAACCAACAAAAATGTACACAAAATGAGACATAATAGATTTCTTTCAATAGTAGCATCAAAAACCAACCTTTTCCAACTCGCGGGTCTTAATCACGTCGAACTCTGTAGGCCCTCCGGTAAATATTGGATCCGACAAGCCAAGTCGCTGTGCAGTGGCAGAGTTGCTCGATCCAGGGCTACCCATAAATTCCTTTTCTTTCCTTTTAATCTTTTCTTCTTTCTTTTTTTTTTTAAATTTTCTTTTCTTTTGTTTGCGTTTCTGTGTGAATATTTTATCAAAACTTAAAAACGCATATGACAATAATAATATATTTTGCAATTTTCTCTTTTTCTGTTTCAAAATCAAAGACAATCGAGCTTCGATTATATCAGCGCAACAGCGATATAGCAATAAATAAAAATTAATAAAAGTTTCACTAATCCTCTACTAATATGCAAAACTGTTCATTAATTCGAGAGAGACAATACAAATCAAACCCTAAATTGTTTAATTGGATGATAATAATGATACAACGCCTCCACCAAACATATATATATATATATATTTCTCTCTCACTCTATAAATAAAGCAAATTTAATCCAAAAACAAGAGACCAGATCAGGGATCGAAACCCTAGAGTGCATAAATAACGAAGGAAGCCCGGTCTGAGGTCGGTTGATTCGGAATATACGATTCTCGATAGGGTCTCTCTTCTTGGCGATTGAAGAACCTAACTAGACCTGCCCAAACAAAGGATCGAATCGAACCCATTAGCCTATACACGGTGAATATATACAGAGACAGAGAGAGAGAGAGAGAGAGAGAGAGAGAGAGAGACTCTTACCGACACAGAGTGAGAGAGCGGTGGAAGAATAGAAAGTGGAGGAGGGAGAAGTAGAAGGCAATCAGTTGTGCCGATGACGATGATGACGACAGAAGAGAGAAAAAGGGCAGATGATGACGATTCAAAATATGAAGGGTATAAAATATTACTAGTTTCGGTTGATATTTTTTGTTGGTGACATATTTATTTTTTGTGAAAAAATTTACTGAATTTTTTTTTTCCTTTTCTATTGACATTTTGTTTTTAACTTTATCTAATTTTTTTATCTATTTGACTTTTTTTTATTATTTGTGTAAATTTATATCTATATGTTTAAATTTTTTTGTTTACCTGTTCAAATTTTTTATCTATCTGTTTAAATGTTTTTTTATCTGTTGAATTTTTTAATCTATATGTTGAATTTTTATAACCTATCTTTTCTAACTGTTTAAATTCACATTATTTTCAAACTTTTTTCCTCTATCTATTCTGCATCACTCCTTTTTTCTCTTTCTATCCGTTGAATTGTTACACCTCTCTTCTCTCTCTTCATCTGTTGATTTGTTACACTTCTCTTTTTTTTAATCTCTATTGAATTTAATATGTTCAAATTTTTGAACAAATCTGTTCATTTTTTTTATCTGTTGCAATCTGTTTCTTCATCATCATCATCAACAACAATCTATTTCTTCTTTATCAACAATAACATCAACAATCAATAACAAAAAAAAAAATCATCATGTGCTACAAGAAGAACTACAAAAAAATAAATAAATAAAATTGAACAAATCTAGCCCCAACTTTGCTCTTCTCTTTCTTCAAATCTTTTTCTGTGTGTTGTCTTGCATTGGCCTAGATCAACAGAAACCAAACTACACCAAAACTAATCAACAGATAAAATATAAGAATAAACAAATAAATAAACAAGAACAAAAAAAATTCAACAAAAACAAAATTTATTCTTTCTTCTCTTGGTTCTCGCTCATTTCAAGTCATCCGCCATCATGTATACATTTGCAAGAAATAAGCAAAGAATCAATGGATGTGGAATGTGTATTCAAAATTAGATACTTCTTCTATACATATATATAGATATAAATACCCAAGTATATATATATATATATATATATATGCTTATACATATATATAGATATAAATACCCAAGTATATATATATATATATATATATGTTTCCCTAAACATAAAAGCACAAACCATTTTCAAACAAACTAATAAATGCATAAATCTATCTATAATATGTATATATTTTGGGTGACAGAGACAAAGATGAAGAGAACAGAAAAGAAAAATGACAAATGGACATACCTCCACGACGATGGAAAATCACAAGATCCATAACCTACAAATCACAACAAAAAACCATCAAATGATAAGCTTCATTCTCTCTATATACACATAAAAGGTATAGAGAGAATAAGGACAGAAAGCAACGGTCTAGATCGCATGAATCTCATTCGACCTAGTAAACGTTGATGACCATCATGATGATAATGTTGTTTTAGTCCCAATCCCAGTCGATAGAAAGATCCTCACGAGAGAAGATATAGATAATAAAGCATTCCCGTCGTGTTTGTCGAACGGAAAGTTTCAAGCTCCACCATCGACATTGGTTGCAACTATGTCGTTGATCCTTACCAGCAACAGATTTGTGAAGCTGAGACGAGAGTAAATCTCAATGAAGACAGCATAGATCTCGATAGCTGACGGCGTAGATCCAAGCCAAGACAAACTCAATTTGACCAAATTTAAAAAGACGGTGGTGGTGGTAGTATTGAATATGGAAGAGAGATAAAGAGAGACAGAGAGAGAGGTTTTAACGGCAATGGACACAATTGAGAGAGAGGAGGCTGAGATATCGTTGGACTCACCACCAAAGGAGGGAAAGAAAAGGAACAATGAGAAAGAGAGCAAGCGAGAAAAGAGTCAGAAGTGGTGATGTCAACGATAGAGTCGTCGGAGCGAAGACCGGAGAGAATGCCAGGGGAATGGTGGAACTCCAGAGAGAGGGGATGGGGAGAAAGAGAGGGTTAGGGTTTGGAGATGAAGACAGAGGGAGAGATAATAGAAGAGAGATAGTGTAACTGTAAATCTATGATGTTGAATATTTGAATACCATGTATATGATATATATATATATATATATATACAGGTGTATTTTGGTCATTTTGTTTAAGTTTGTCCTTTTGGATAAAGTGTTTCAGCGCCTAAATGGGAAATTCTATTTCTATACACTACTTCCTCTCTTTTCACATCTTTTCTCAATACACACAATAAATAAATTTAAATTATCAACTTTCACTCAATACACATCTTACCATACCAAAAATACCCTTACCATTCTCTAAACCCTAACCCTAACAAACCACCACTGTTGTTGCCACCGCCACCGGCACCTCTTTTCCTCCCTTTCACTTCCAGTCGTTACCCCCACCTCTCCCTCCACCCGTCGGCGCTACTTTTGTAACCTCCATTGCCGAAATCAATCTCTGAAATAAGATGTTCAGTTTCTCTTTGCTAGAGAGAACATGGTAGGTTTACATGTTTACAATTTCAGTAATGTAATTGTATATGGCCGTCGGTAATATATTTTTCTCCGTTATAAAGTTTTATTTAGAGTTTGTATTTGTAGTGATCCAAATTACTGAGTGGAAGTTACAAAAAACCATTGTTTGGCCAACTATATTGCAAGATGATGATTATATATATATATATATATATTTGTATTTTGTTTAAGGAAAATATTTTTTGTTCTTGTGCTTCTTTGTTGCTTTTTTTTTTTTTAAACATGGGAAACAATTATATTAATAAACGAAAACATACATAGGCCGTTCTAATCAAACAACAAAATGGAGAAGAAGAAAAAAAGCATCAAAAATTAAGTTATGATGCAAAAAAAATTACCGATGTTCTTTATATTAATTGAGAATTAATCCTCAAACTTGTTCTCTGTTTTTGATATAGAGAGTTAGAGTTAGGGTTTTGGGAAATGGATATTTTGGTAATTTAATTTTAAGATAAAAATGTAATAAAAAAAATCATTAAGTGTGTGGAAAGAGAAAAAATAGTGTGTGAAAATAGAATTATCTGGCCTAGGTCTTTGGCCAAAGAAAATTAAGATTTGGATTTATGAACGAAGTACCCTTTTTTTAATTACATTTTATCTTAAAATAAAAATACTAAAATATCATTTATCTTTCACATATAAGAGCTTAATTTCCAAACCATCTAAAAAAAATTAACTCTAACCAATCACCACACCACCGTCGGCTTCCTCTTTTGACCACCTCAACCATTCTTCGTCATCCTGTGATGGTCCATTCCTACAGCCTCTACCATTGCGATCTTTGCCATCACAATCGCGCCTTCCATCACCGACACCATCATTACCCTCACCTCGATACACTCTTTCTTATTCTTCTTCATTATCATCATCATGTCTATCTCACTCTTTTCTTTTTCACAAGCATTTCTCTCCATCTATTTCTCTTTCTCTTCTTCTGCAACTCAAGAAAGAACAACATCGGCTAGGGAGGAAGAATGACTCAAACCCCAGATCTAGGATTTTCAGAAAATGAAATAAGAAGAAAAAGAAAGAGATGAGATGGAAGGTTGCGGCAGTGATTGTAGAGAGGTGGTGACGTCAGTAGTGGAAGGAAGAATGGGGTAGGAAAGGGTTTGGGAGTAAGGCTGGCAATGGTGAAGTAGGTGGAGTGAGGAGGAGATTCGTCGGAGAAAAAGAAGGAGGAGGTGACGGTGACAGGCTACGACGATGAGCAGCAGCAGCTAGGGTGGAGGTGGTGACAGTGGCTAGTTAGGGTTAGAGATTAGGGTTAGTGTTGGAAGGATGAAGAAGAAGGTATTTCTGGTATAATGATTTTTTTTTTTTTCAAATTCATTAAGTGCGTGAATTCAGATATGATATGCAAGAGAGTGTTTGGGAAGAAAAAGTTTTGGCTTTTTTTGGCTAAAATAGTACTAAAAGATAACAATAAGATAAAATATCACATCAAATCCATAATTATTTCACTTTTTCTTTCATAAAACATCACATCCAATTACAAAAAAATCCAACTCTGTTCCCAAACACAACTATTTTAGCCTACTAAAATAGCTAACTTCCCAAATACCCAAAAACAGTGTGTATAAATAGAATTTCTCGAAAATGAATAGGCAGATGGGATTCGGTTAAAATGTACATGATTATCCTCTCTATTTTGTAAATTTTTATAGGGTAAAATATGAATTACCTTTTGTGGTTCTAGAAATTACATCCAGCCTTCTGAAATTTCTAATTTCATAACAAATGACCTCTTTTATCAATAAATCATTAAGTCAATTAATAGTTTTTAATGATATCATAAATATATTTCAATTAATAATCTAGGTAATTTTGTTATTGTAAAGGAGAGCTATTAGAAATTTTATTTTTTTAATTAATTATGTTAAATAAAAAATTCTTATAAGGGTGTATTTGTAATTTTCCAAATCGTAAGAGACAATCTGTATTTTAAGTATACCTTAGGAGATGCATTTGTAATTTATCTATTTTTATATTAGGCTAAGGTTACTCACACATCAGGTCGAGTCTGGTGTCTGTCATCCATTATTTGTATTTTATTGTTTTGGATCTTTTTCGAATTTCAATAATTTTTTACTATTTTGACCCAAAAAATTTTTAATTCTTCATTTTCTATATTTTTCTTTAAAAAAAAAAAATTGAACTTTCATATTTTATAAAATAGCAAATATAATTACTAAATAAAAGGTGTAACACCCCAAATTTCTAGCCCAAATGATAATGCAACAATCATGGCTCTTTTAAGGAAAACCGAATATAAATCTCCAAACATACATTACATAATACAATAGTTCTTCATGCAACAATACATTAATCAAATAACAAGTAAATAAACAAATACATACCCCCAAGGGTTTACAAGTTTCCAAGGCTTGAGCTTGGTTACACAAAACGGTTAATCAAACCCACACACATACAGCCCTTGGCTTACACACAGGGTCACAGCAAAATGAGAGTCTCGTACTCTTAACACACATTTCCTCGCCTTTAGTTAGGCGGCATCGCCACATCTTTTCCTGCACAAAAATCTCGTAGGATGAGCATAAAGCCCAGTAGGAAATCCTTAACAAAGT